GCTATGTACGTATGATTATTTTCTTTCTGCATGGTTCTGACAATTTGTGGCACACTGCACTCAGAGATCAGACGCATTAAAAGAAACATGTCACACATGTTAAAAGAACTTTCTTCTAACTATGAATTCCCAATTCTAAATAAAATATAAAATTAATAATGTTTAAACCACGAGTATTGCATGGAGTGCAATGTAGCAGGCTCATTTACCTTGTAAAGCCCCAGGAGCACATCACATGAAGAGTCTTGACCGCAGTTCCAAAGGAGGACATCGCAGGAAGGAAGAAGATAGACTAGAGTAAGCTGGAATGTAAATAACAGGAGAAAAATGAAATTGTACTATGTACTAATACAGAAATGCAAATTAAAAAATTGAACACACTGAATAAAAATAAAATCAAGGGAATACAGTTTACTAATAAACTAGCCATCATAGGGGAAAAGTATGTAGAGGAGTGTTGAAATTATGTGAATATTTTTTTTAAATTTTGAAAACCTATCATTAATAAGAAAAAAAGGCTACGAAATATGGATTTGTTAAAGTTTAAATGATTGTAAATATTGTTTTTTTGGGGGGAGGGAGAAATTTGTATTTTCAGTCATTTTATAGAGCTTTATAGAATTATTAACCGCCAGTAACATCAAAAATATATCTGCTAAAGAAACTTAGGAAAGTAAAAGTTTACTTGGTTAAAATGAAAGTTAAATTGTGAAGGATCCCAATACCTGGTAAAGTAAGTTTCTTAGAAAACAGTGGTATTGAAAACTTAATTATTTACAGTGATTTTAACATATAAATATTAAAGAAAAAAAGAAATGTCCAATTTTTTATATAATTTTTCTTACTTTAAGGTTTAAAATGTCTTGAGAAATAACAGAAATTGTCTAATACATCATGTCTCTTAGCCATGATCGATCATTGCCATACTATTTTTTTAATGAAGCATACTTTTTAAAATTTTTTAAGTAGGAAACTTTCGTTTTAACCTATGAGGAAAATACCTTATTGCAAGCATAGTACTTGCTTGCAGTTTGTATCTGGCCAGCTAAGGCTTTTATCAATACTGATTTGATATAAGGCTTCCCCCTCGCCCTTCCCTTTGAATTTAAAATAGCACTAAATTCTTGGTGGTTGGTTATTTTCGGCTGACCTGAATGAAGTGATGTACATTTATCAAGTATATACAGTCAAAAGTCTTTAATCTGGAAGTCCATAATCCAGAATGATCTATAATCCGGACCTCAAAGCTGCAAACTTTCTGCATATGTATAAATGCATAATGCGTTTACGCGTGCGCGCATGCGACGGTATAAGCTAAGCTAAAATTATCTAATTCAGTTAATGTTGCAGATTGCGTTGTTTTCTTTAATCTTCGAATTGGATCCGGCTTATTATTTCTTGCAGACCGTTAGAGCAATTTTGTAAAAGTAAGCTTGAATTTTCGATTATGTCAAAAAGAATTTCCGATTCTGGAGCTGCCAAAGGATCTACAAAGCAAAAGCATGTTTCGATGTCCATCAAACAAAAAGTGGAATTGCTGCAAAAATTGGATAAATGCATATCCTTTGTTTCCCTAACCATTCCGAAATCTGTTTATCAACTTTCACCCTGGCTCTGGGGGGGGGGACGACGGGGCGCGAAATGAAGTGGAAGTTGATCTGTCAGCACTATCCTTATCTTCGGGGCAGATGTTTTTATTTTATTCAGCTTATAATTCCTTACTAAATGTAGTATTTCATCTCGATGTACTCCGTCTTTGATATGATTTAAATCAAATTCCTCGTCATTATAAATATCACGAATACACATCAAATAGTTTTCTGGTTGCAATTTTCTAATTTCGACTATGCATAATGTATGCTTTACGCATGTGCACATTGAAAGAAATGTTTAATAAAGTAAACAAATAAATATTAAGCTTTTTTTTTGTAAATTTTGATACCCTTTAGATCATAATTGCTCTTTATTTCATAAATTATGGTTTCATATTTTTAATTTTATAATTTCTGCATGCCATCTTACCAGATTTAAACTGATGATCTATAAAACTGATAATATCGTCAAAGTCCGACGAGTCGAAAGACTTTTGACTTATTTCACAAAGATAGTTTAATAGAAAACTAATTAAGAGAAGTCATTTAATAATTTTAATAAATTAGAACAGTGAATAAATACATTAATATTAAAATTATATTCAATTTTGTAAAAATTATGTATTGATTTGTCTTCAGTATAAGAATACAGTTTATTAATGAATTTTCTTTTATTGTAGTAAGCAAATTTGTTACATAGCCATACAAAGCTCTACTCCCTCCAAAAAAACGTTTTCAATCATTTAGTGTAAATTTAATATTCTAGAATTACATTTTCAGGGTCTTCATGATTTCATTTAAAAAAGCTGTAATTTATTAAATCCATATTTTTAAATTATTAAAGAAGTTTTACTAAATTTTGCATGGAAAATGTTTGCATTATTCCTATGAGATAACTATGTGTAATTACACTTTTTACATTTTGATGATAAACTTTGTATTATTCTGTTATACAAAATATATAAAGGCTGTTATTGTAGTATATTCATGTATGCGAGATAACAATAGTTGTGTATTATTTTAGAGTTATATGTCTTTCACTGTATATTTTATTGGCTGCAATGCGTCAAAAGTGTTTGTATAAAGAACCTTCCTCAATCTTGTTCTGTAACATGTAATAAAAAGTTTAGAATGTTTTATTGGCAAACAGTTATTTAATTCTGTTTTTTCAGAATAGATTCAAATTCAGTATAATGACAGTGAAAAAATAAATAGGACATGCATTTTAGTGCAAAAATAAACCTTCAAAATTAGACAGAACAGCAGCTTTATTTTGGCAGAAATTTCCAGAGAAATCTGCAAATGGTAGTCAAAGCTGTAGGAAGGACTGAATTAGAATTCATGTCATTAACTAGAGAAGTAAATTTTGCGAATATGAAAATCTTCAAGAAAATCTAGTTTTGTTAAAGCTTTAAGGAAATCCAATTTATTATGTCAAAAATCGAATAAGTTTCCAAAAGTGGCCAAATCTAATTTGTAAATCCAATTTATATGTCAAAAATTTGAACGAGTTTCCAAATGTGGCCAGGCATTGAAAATTCATTAATTCTCTTTTTGGAATACGATCAATGTTCATGACATGAAAATTTAATGCTTTTTAGCTTATTAGGGGAAATGACCCGAAAGTTGAAATTCTGGAAAATCTATGCAAATTTATAATTGACAGAAGAATAAATGGAATGAGAAGAAGATTATTGTTAATTTTAACAACAGAATGTCTCCTTTGATGGAAGGATGAAAGTATTTTAAAAGCTTTATCAATGACTATGCAAGAAAAAACCCTGTACTCTGCCTCTTGCTTCCAATACCCATGCAGTCATCACTGCTTCCATTTTGCAGCTCTTGAAGAAAAGTCTGATCACCCTCGATCTTGATACAGTGTTATTCAAAATCTATGCCAAAATAAGGCTGCTGTTTTCGGCAGTTTTAAATTTTACATCGGCATGTTTCCTTATTCATATTTATTTTATGTTAAATACTCTAATCATTTAGCATCATTTTCTAAAAACACATCCGAAGTATTAACTGGCATATTACTGCTGTTCCTAATGTGTTAGTTTAGATACACTAAAAAAAAAAGTTTATAATATTGCTACAAATTTGTTAGCAGAAAATGATTTTTTTAAACCAGTCCTCATTAAGTTTGTGAAAAACTTAATGAATATTCTAGAATTACATTTTCAGGGTCTTCATGATTTCATTTAAAAAAGCTGTAATTTATTAAATCCATATTTTTAAATTATTAAAGAAGTTTTACTAAATTTTGCATGGAAAATGTTTGCATTATTCCTATGAGATAACTATGTGTAATTACACTTTTTACATTTTGATGATAAACTTTGTATTATTCTGTTATACAAAATATATAAAGGCTGTTATTGTAGTATATTCATGTATGCGAGATAACAATAGTTTGTATTATTTTAGAGTTATATGTCTTTCACTGTATATTTTATTTGGCTGCAATGCGTCAAAAAGTGTTTGTATAAAGAACCTTCCTCAAATCATTGTTCTGTAACATGTTAATAAAAAGTTTAGAATGTTTTATTGGCAAACAGTTATTTAATTCTGTTTTTCCAGAATAGATTCAAATTCAGTATAATGACAGTGAAAAATAAATAGGACATGCATTTTAGTGCAAAAAATAAACCTTTCAAAATTAGACAGAACAGCAGCTTTATTTTGGCAGAAATTTCCAGAGAAATCTGCAAAATGGTAGTCAAAAGCTGTAGGAAGGACTGAATTAGAATTCATGTCATTAACTAGAGAAGTAAATTTTTGCGAATATGAAAATCTTCAAGAAAATCTAGTTTTGTTAAAGCTTTAAGGAAATCCAATTTATTATGTCAAAAATCAGAATAAGTTTCCAAAAGTGGCCAAATCTAATTTTGTTAAATCCAATTTATTATGTCAAAAATTTGAACGAGTTTCCAAATGTGGCCAGGCATTGAAAATTCATTAATTTCTCCTTTTTGGAATAAGATCAATGTTCATTGACATGAAAATTTAATGCTCTTTTAGCTTATTTAGGGGAAATGACCCGAAAGTTGAAATTCTGGAAAATCTATGCAAATTTATAATTGACAGAAGAATAAAATGGAATGAGAAGAAGATTATTGTTAATTTTAACAACAGAATGTCTCCTTTGATGGAAGGATGAAAGTATTTTACAAGCTTTATCAATGACTATGCAAGAAAAAACCCTGTACTCTGCCTCTTGCTTCCAATACCCATGCAGTCATCACTGCTTCCATTTTGCAGCTCTTGAAGAAAAGTCTGATCACCCTGATTATAAATAAATATAGTTTAGTTATAGTTTAATAAACTATAGTTTGTGATTTAAATAAATATTGAATGTTTTAAGCAAATGTATTAAGCAAAAATATTGAATATTGATTACTTTTACAGGTAGTGGAATTACTTGCAAAAAACCAGCAATTACAAGCTCGCTTGACTTCTGGTGCAGCTCAGAAACAAGAAGAGTTGCTGTAATTAAATAATTTTAAACATCTGGTGCAAACAAAATTTTTTGCTCATGTGAGTATTTAAAAATGTCAATTTTTTTAAGTAAGCGTTTTGTCCTTTCTTATTTAATGTTTTCTTCTGAGATTGTTTTTAAACTCTTTAAATTAAGCATACATTACATAAACTTTGGTTGATAGTTGTGTAAGGCATGATATGGATTGTGATAAGCTCTCCTTGGACAGATCACCTTCATATTTTTTGCTGTAATCAAATACACCTAAACCTTGGATTATGACAAAGTACAGGGTTAGCTCCTTGATGAATTAATAATCTTGAGATTCAAAAATGGAATCTTCATAATCCTTTTATTCCTTATTATATTAAGTTATGTATAATATGTACATTCCTTGTACTTGAAGTTGAAAGCATTCATGTGAACAAATTTATTTGCCAAAATAATATCCCCCACTGCATTCAAATTTTATCAGCAGCCTTCCTCATTCCCGTCATAAGTCTCTGAGCAAGCAAGAAGGGTTATCAGAACATTTGGCTACCTTCAAGTGCCACTATAAATTTCAAATATTCTCTATCCTAAAATTTCTAATCTCATAAACAAAAAATCATTTGGCAATAAATTCCACTTGCTGACACATAGCAGTGAAACAAAATGAATAAATTTGAAGGTTTCATTTGTGATGTTGTCTGCATGCTTTTCTAATCTTTTACTGAATGAAGTGATGTGGTAGTTTGTTTTGAAATGTTTAACATCAAGTATTGTTCTGTGATTAAATTTTGCCTGGGCAGTTTTAATCCCAAATAAATAAAACAGTATTTGTTCAATCTTTCTTACAGTCATTGAAATTCATATTCTACAATGAAAGAATAGGTTACGTGATTTTGCATGGGCCAAGATGATGATTCTTATGAATGTTGAGCATTAGATGTATTGGCAATCTACAATACTAAATAGTGATGTATCCTGGAGTAAATTTTGGATGATAGAAAATAAAATGTAAAGAATACATTAGCAAGATTGGATTTGTCTAAAACAATTGTTTTGTACATTCTACACGAACATTTTCAGATGAAGAAAATCTGCAAAATGAGATACTTCAGTTTCTTTCAGCAATTCAAAAATAACATGTCATTTTCTAGAATAGCTATTGCAGTTCTAAGAAATTTTTTTCTTCAGTTTATCTTAACTAGTGCTCTCATTCTATGGTCCTATCTGCTAAAAGAGAGAATCAGTGGAATGGAGAAAATCAAATGAAGAATTACTAAGCTAAAATAATTTGGGCATCAGTTGACAAAAAGGGGTAATGATACTTTTTGAGACTGTTAAAGAAGCTTTCTGATACACTTTGAAAAAAGAAATGTGATCATTAATAAGGAATATAATCTATGAATTTTGCATATATATTTGCAGTGAAATTAAAGAGAAAAGGTATGGAATGCTGCATTACAGAGTTCATCCTTTCTAGAATTGTGCATTCAGTTGAGATCTAGAGATGCAGTAAAGAGGTTTAAGAGGCTTGAACATCCCTATTATAGTCTAGATTTAGCTCCAAGTAGTTATTAACTGTTCTTTGGACTGAAATCCGACATTCGTGGAAAGAGATTTAACGATGATGATGAAGATAGCGATTGTGGAACTTTTGAGGACAAACTTTAAAATATTTTCATGGATACAGAGTTTCTTGCTAAATGATGTGAAAAGTATACTGAATACAAAATTATATATACATGCACACAAAATTGCTTTTTGACTTTGAGGTTAAGTTTTTACCGTATTTGCATCCCATGACAACTGGACCTTGGAACCTACATTTCACTTTTATAACCTCTTAAATATTCCCTCTACACCTTTTTCCTTAGACAAGATTATATAAAATTTTTACTCTTTTTTAACTTAATTTTATGTATGTGCATATATATATGGCTTTATCTACATATATTGTGCATATATATATGGATTGTCTGCCATGGAGTGTGGGGATTTTTGTAAAGAAACTAGCTTATATTTACATTCTCCACAATCATAAAATGATTGCTGCTTTTTTCTTTGTATTAGCATGGTTGTAAACAAACTGTGTACTTTCTTTGGCTTTTTTTTCACCCTTTTCATTCATATTAAGAGAAGAAAATGCCTACCAGATAATCGGACAGGTGTTGGTATACAAATCTGACTATTAACTGCTTTTCTTCTCGATAATTTTTGTACAGTTGCATTTTAAATTGGAGAAACAGAATTTTATTCCCATGCTCTTTCTCATAAAGAATGCTGGAGTTTAATATTATTATATCCATCAGCCCAAAAAACGATTTTTTGTACTACTTCATCGATTTCCTAAAATGCATTACTGCTGCATCTCCTATGTTTACACCATCCATGTTTTTGTTGTTTAATCTGTAATACATTTAGATTTTAAAATGTCCTCTCCGTTAACTTTATTTTTTCTGTCAAATTTAGCCACTTCTGGCCCATGTATGCTTTTTAGCATGAAAACATCTTTTTTCTTGCAATGCAAAGATGTTTGTATTTATTTGCATCACAGTCTATTCACCCCTATTTAGCTTTCTTTCTGGAAAATGTTTTTCTTGTTTTTAATACTGTTTCTTTGGAATACAAATATTCTGTGCGTGATAGGGAACTGGAAAAGTGATCCAAAGATAAATTAAACCCTTTCTTCTTACATAATTCACTCATTAATATTTGTTACTGCTCTTTCTCTGTAAGATGCATTGCTGCTTAATATTTCTGTGTCTTACCCACTATAAATTAAAAAATTCCATACATAACTGTTAATTTATTTGCATAACTTATATATTTTCATCTCGTAAGACAGTTGTCCTTTCTGAGCAGATAGTTATTTATCGATGCAGATATTTTCATCGGGATGAGGATTTGATGAATAAGAGAAATCGAAACTCATAAGTGAAATAAAGGCTTATTTTGGTCTTAAAAGAAACACCATATTATTTTTACAATTTCCATTTTTGTTTGCAACATGTTACTTATTTTTTACATAAAAATATAACAAACTTTTAAGAAATAAAGCTTATGCAACGCTTATCAAGGTACACTCCAAGTAACAACGTTTTTAGCTTGACTCATTGTTGCCACACGGCCAATCTTAATAACTATTCAAAACATTACATCATGTTTAGCAGCATCTTTCAGAAAAGGTCGATAAAAATTAAACATCCCTAAGAAAGTTTGCAAATCCAGATAGTCTCTGGTAATTTATAATTCAATATTGCTTTGACTTTTTCAGGTAGAGGACGAGATCCTTCCGTTGTTATAAGATATCCTAAAAATTCTAAGTTATCAAAACCCATGATCGACTTAGAAATGTTGATTCTCAAACCGTATTTATCTATCGAAAACAAGTTTCAAGTGATGTCTGTGTTCTTCTTCTGAGGCAGAAGCAATTAATATGTCATTGAGATATGGAAAAGTAAAGTCCAAACCTTGAAATACTTCATGTATGAATCTCTGAAAAATAGCTGGTGCATTTCGCAAACCGAAGCTCATTACATTAAATTCATAGAGGCCAAATGGCGTAATTATGGCAGTTTTCTGTTTGTCCTCTTTGGCTATAGGAATTTGAAAAGATCAATTTTGGAAAATATTTTTTTGTCTTTTAAAATGTGGTTAAAATCATTAATCCTAGGGATAGGATATCTGTCAGGAATAGTTTATAGCATTAAGTCTTCGATAGTCTCCACAGGGACGAAAATTTCCATCTCTTTTAGAAACTAAGTGGAGAGGACTAGCCCATGGAGATGTAGACTGTCTTATTATATTGATTTTCAACATATACTGAAATTCTTGTTTGGCAATCTGTAACAGTTTGTAACTGTCTAGCTGTCTTGGCTTGGAATACACCGGTTGACCTTCAGTTAAAATGTGATGACATTTGTTATCAAAAGATTAGGTTTTGTAATACTCAGATAAACATATCATGATATTTTAACTTATCATGTACTAAATCACGTCCGGGTCACCAATCTTTTAATGTGGATTTGATGAAAACGCGAAATCGAAACTGATCAGCCAGAGCATTTCATAAGTGAAATAAAGGCTAATTTTGGTCTTAAAAGAAACAGCATATTTATTTTTACAATTTCCAAATTTCCATTTTTGTTTGCAACATGTAACTTATTTTTTACATTAAAATATAACAAAAGTTTACGCAATGCTTATCAAGGAAAACTCCAAGTAAGGACGTTTTTAGCTCGACTCGTTGTTGCCATACGGCGAATCTTAATAACTATTCAAAATATTACATCATGTTGCCACTTAGGAAATCTTAATAATTATATAGAAACATTAAATTATGTTCCACTACAGATTCTTTTTAATTTATTTTTCAAATTCTCTGTGATTAGTTCTAGTTTTCCAAGCGTTTTAACACTCGGTGTATTCTTTTCTTTTCTAAAGTGAAATACAAAAATTTTAAAATGTAAAAAAACACATCTGTAATCATTATGCAATACTTGCCATGTGGATAATAAATGCTCCCAGTAGCCCCTAATTTGAAAAGTCTTTGCTAAAAGCATTTCTACAATTAAAAAAATGCATTTTTTTCAAAATTTTTGGTTCCTTTTGCAATAAAACATGCTCAAAAACATTCATTCTATACTTTAAAATGTTAAAACATTATTATTGATATAATATACTGATGCAAATCTTTACCTCTTTTAAAAGTGTCTTAAATACAATGTTTTTTTTAATATCTTATTTGCAAATATATAAAACAGTTTTCCAAACATTAGTGCTCATTACAAAGTTAATACAAGTATGTTTCTATATGCATTTAAGGCTTTGAGATTGTGCAATTACCATAAAGGATGCAAAATATTTTTTCTCATTGTATATAATATAAAAACTTTTATGAGTGTGCTTTTTTTTAAGTAAAGTAGTTTTTAAAGCTCAGCTGAAAACCTGAGTTTTCAGTGTGATGGTTTTTCCACTGCTAAAAGGGCCTCAAGTTTTCTCCCTTCCAACATACGATGAATAATATTTGTCATGGGAAGGTTACCTTGAAACCTTTCAATTACAAAGTATCCTTTTCTGGTTTCATGAAGTCTTTTTGAACATCGTGTTTATTCCAAGAGAATAATATAATAAAAAAACTGGGTGGGAGCGCATACTCTGGAGATGTTAATTCCATATTGTTATAGTCACGGCAGATAGTAGAAATGGTGTTACAGAAGATTAGCTAATAAATGAAACTTCAACTGCAGTACTCTAAAAAAAACAAGAAGAGGTTCTGTATTGTGAGTAACTTAAAATGAAAGGGAAGCTATCAAAAAAGGTTTATAAAACAGTTGATAACAGCGAAAGACAAGCAGACTACTCCTCGTGTATGTTACATCTATAAACTCATGTCAGTTTTTTATGTCAAGTAGACACAGCTGTACTGAGACAAGTGATGTACCTCCCCCCCCCAAAAAAAACGAGGGCTTCAGATCTAATAATAGTGTTAAAATTTTGATATTTGTGTCAAATGTTAAAATCTAGTTCATGGCTTTACACGAAAGAATATATGAAATCCATTCTTTTTGCAGTTGCTAAACAAGAACTTGGATAATTTCTTGCCATTCAAAACAAATAGTCAGGAACATGCTTGTAAAAATTTCATATATTGAAAAGCAAATAAAAATTAAGGAAAAAAGTTTATTTGCCCTTCAAGTTTTTGCCAGATATAATTAGCTATACAAATTTCAATTTACTTATTCAATTCCTATTTTTTTATTTGCAATGTACTATAATTTCTATACATCAGAATATTTCGTAAACATTTCAAATTTCTTTATATGTGTTATTCTATAATGAGTAATATTTTTGTATATCTGATAAACAGTTTTTTATTTTACAGGAAATGCCTGATAGATTGCTCACCAAGTAATTTGCTTGGTATGCCAAATCTTACTAAGATCAGCTGAACTGTATATTACATCATGCATCAGATCACTTGTAATTAAATCACATTGTTGCATTATGTCATTCTATATATATATCTGCATTAGAAATTTTATTTCTGTAAAAACATTTTGTATCTTTGATTGAAATGCCATTTGTATATATTAATCATACAGGATAGAGAGTTTTATAATGAAATACTGCATATAACTATTAGTCAATATGCTCTGTTTGCAAAAAATAAATACCTTGTTTTATTTCACATAATTTATGAAATAAAAAAAATGAATGAATGAAAATTACAAAACACAAGTTATTTTATGAAGATTTTTTAAAATTTTCAGTTAATTAAAATTATCATTTTTCATAATGAGATTCTAGTATTTTTCAAAATTTTCTGATAATATGATTAAAATAAAACTATTTTTGCAAATCTCAGCTTTATTTTGAGAGGTGAAAGCAGTTTGAATCAGCACTCTATAAACATAATTTTTGAAGTCTTTCACCCCTATCTTGTTACTGATCAAAATTTAAGACTATTTTTGCTGTTGTGATTAAGATAAGAGTAATGAATTAAATTTCAATGTGTCCGATATTTGTTATTTAAATAGTAAAATATATTACATATGTGCTAGTTTTCTGCACACATTTTTCTTGTATGTAAGAAAGGTTAGGTGTTAACTGATTCAAGTATGTTTTTATAACCTAGACAATGCTGTTGCATTTTTGATACATACATGTTATCCATAGTCTAAGAATAAGAAGTCAAATACTTAGTAGGATTTCTCAATCTGAAGTCGTAGAGCTTATGTTAATCAAGACTGAAGCTAATATGTATAGTTATCTAGCAATGTAAATTTAAAAATTACATCTAGTGAAATAACTAGAAGGCTGTTTTTATAGTTATATTTAGCAGCTTTTTCGAGATTGCTGACGAGTATGAAATATATTTAATGCTCCAAGTTACAAGAAAATATAAAATTGTTAAACACCAAATAAAAGTGTATCTCTATGTAAACTAAGTGTAACATATTGTACAGTTTAAACTAAAGCAATAAATCACAGACTAGCCATAAGTGACTTATTTTTGTAGCTAATAAATCATATAATAAGAGAATTTTATGGTTGTTATGAGAAACTGTTGTTGGTTTGTATATTTTATAAATTAAAGCTTATAATTTTAGAACTTGTACATAAAGATCGAGTACAAAGAATAATAAAAACTTATCTTACAAAATTTGCTTCTTTTTTTCAAGATTCTTTTTACATTACACTTATATTTTTATAAAAAAGTGGATTCATAAAATGTTACGATAGTTTATGGATGTATTTAAATAAAATTATATTTAATACAATAGTTCAACTTAAATATAGTAAACAGAAATCTGTAAATTTGAATTCAAATATTTCATAAAAGCTACCAGCCATTTTGATGAATTTTTTTGTTTGGATTATTTAAGATTTATTTATGGATATTTCATGACAATATATATATGTTACAGTGAAACACCAAAATCTGGAGAATGTCGACTTTCACCGGTGAATGTCAACATTCACATAGTCTCTTGGTGTATGTCCGAAATATTTTCCAAATACTCTTATTTCTGACTTACGCCGGTCAATGTTGACATTCACCTGTACTAATGGTGAATGTTGAATCTATAACAATATTATATTTTCGTAATTCAGTCACGAATAAACGCACTTGAAATAAGAACTTAAGAACATGAGAATCTAAAACACACAATACATTCAAAATGAGAAAGGAAAATAATAGAAGTTAAAAACTTAATTATACGGTACGTTCTAAACGAGAAAATAAAATAACAGTAATAAAAAACTTACTAAATTATGTGATTCAAATCTTATTTATTGCAACAACTTAAACTATTATGGCACTTTATAACCTCTCTTTTCGACTTTCACCAGAGCATATCTGTGATTGTCGATATACACCGGTGAGGGTCCGAATATACAAGAATGTAGTGCAATATTCGATCTTTCACCAATGTATTTGGTGAATGTTGACATTCTCCGGTGAAAGTCGACATTCTCCAATTTCGGTCTTTCACGGTAACATATACATACATTATGATAATCATTAAACAGGCATATACTGTATTTTACTAGCATATTTCCTCCCTCCTTTTTTTTTTTTTTTTTTTTTTTTTTTTTGTTCAAAAATTGAGAGAAGAAAATTAGGCGAGTAATTTAATTTTTGAAGGATGCAATTAAAATAAGAGTTTAAATGAAAAGTATTCATGGACAAACTACTGGTAACTTATCACAGTATTATTTATTTAAAAGAAATCTAATAATACTAATGCATCATAGCATTAACATTACAATATCTAGTAAGGTATTTTCATTTCTACTTCCTTGTAACTTGAACTTCACTCACCTACTTCCCAGGTCTCGAATTATTTAATGCTGCTAGAATTGTGTTGCTTGCATCATCACTCATTGTCATCGTTTTCATTATTTTTCAGTCTGTTTTCCCATGTGTAGTGTTCTGAACTATCGAGATCATTAGATATCTCTTTTCTTGAAGCTCCTCCATAATATTGATTTATCATTTGCAGCCCACATATGCAGATTCTATTAATAAATCAATTAATAAGATGAAAACAATCATTACATGGATGAATCCATTTTAATATTTAAGGAGCTTGTTTTCTGAACATTCTGAGGAAGTGTAACATGAATACTTAAAAAATTTCAAAAACTTGCATTAAAAAGCTACTGGGGAAGAAGGGTAAATCCAGGAATTTAGATCATAAACATCTGATTTCAGTTCAAGAGCTTCCACACTAGGACTGTTCTTCAAGTTTAAGTTTGCATTTATCTAATTAACTGAAGTGACTTCACAGCTGTCAATTCCTTCCACTGCTTGTCCACCATACTATTTTGTTCCTAACTCTGAATCACATAATTGTTGCCATGCATTGTGAAAATTTTCATCTCTAGGTCTTATTACTGATTATTTATTAAATGATTGCTACTTCCACTGAATCAAGGGCAGATACAAAGGCTTTCATTTTGTCAAAGTTTTATTGCAAGAAAACAGCACACCTAATGTAAATAACCCACCTGGTTATAAAATGGGGAATTTCAACAGGTGGAACTCGGTGGCTTCTCAGCAAAAGACATTATAACTGGAATAAGTTGTTAACAAAAACCTTCTTCATGGCAGCAATAAAATTCTTCCTTAACATCCTCATATATCAGGTATAGTTGATTTTCAATGCAAGTTATATGATTGAAGTTAGGGTACATTTCAGGTGCTTAAAAACATACTATATGCTGTCTGGCCATAAATTTATGTGAAAAATCATTGAATGACTATACTCCCGTACATCATAAAGAGTATGAATTTGACCTCCTTACTATTCAGATAATCAAATAGCAGCACATTCAAGTTATTATATTGTAATTTGTCAGTAGTTTCACCTAATATCAATCCCCTTTCATACTTGCTAGCCACTTTTATTTTTAAATTACTTCATAAATTAGTTTTATTTATTTTTTCCCCAAAATCTCTTGTTATGTACTAACCTTTACTATTTTCCAAGAAATAATTTGAATGCAGGTTTTTTAATTCTATAAATTGAAATTCTTGATTGGAAGAATGGCACAGTAAGACCTATTGAATGACTGTTGCTTTTTAGTTCCTGAAATGAAGGCACATGCTAAGGTACTTTGCTTATGTTGTGACCTGCAATATTTACCATTCACTGCATGTTTCTGTATTAGATGTGCTGGTTTATTTGATTTTTCATCCTAATTGCAATATTTACATGTCAGAATTAGACCACCCATTTCAATGAACTTTCTCTTAAATTCTGATGAACCATCTTGTAACTTTGATACTATCTTAACATTTAATATGTTTAATAAACATTTTATTGATAGCATGCAATAACAGTAGTCATAAAAAGATTCTTTTTTTAAAGAAGATAATACACTGCATGAATTATGTATGACAACTTAACAGCTATACTATAATTGGCTTATGTTAACTGAAAATAGCAAAGTTCAAGGACTATCTGCCTAAGCGAAAGGGATGCTTTTGTGGAAGATTTTTCTATATGAAATTGGCACATATTCACATTACACATGGAAAAAATTCATATGCAGTCAGCCCATTTACCTGGAATCTAACTTCCATTATTTAGCAGTTTTAACTACTTGGGCAAGGCTGCTTTAAGTTATTGACTTTCTAAGGAAAATGGGTTCATATTTCAGATTACACATGGCAAAAATTATGAAAACACACCTTGCAGTCAGCCCATTCATCTAAGATTTAACTCCCATTATTCAGTGGTCTTAATAACTGAGCCACCAGTAAGACCTATAATGGTCCTAAACTAGAGTAGATTTTCTCAGCAAAAACCTTTAAAGTTAAGCTGTGTTTCTTTACTGCAAATAAACGTATCAAATAACCATCACCTACCCTAAGATAAGAATGAAATGCTTTTGATGTCTTAGTTCTCCTTTACATTATAAGAGATGTGAAACACAAAGATTTGGAAGCAATGACTCATGAATCACTTGAGTGGTGTACACCAAATTATTATAGTTTGGCAGGGAAATCATGTTTTTGTTTTCTCTTTTAAGGTTCTTCTATATCACTTTGAAAACTACAATAATAATATTATGAGAAACCAATGTCTATAGACAAACAAGAATAGGCTCTTCCCAACACTTGACTTTAATGACTTCGCATAGCCTACAGAAGCAAGAGAAATGAAGATGTAATTACATTCATTTTTCAAGTTTAGTAACATTTAGTTTTTGCTGTTTCATGGAATAAAGGAGTGCTTCTGAAGATTATGTGAATGTTTTTAGTACTGAAAGTATACTTAATTAATGGACCGACTGCATGAAAAGAATGAGTTACTTGTATATCTGAATATTCTATCTTATGAGGAACTCATGAATGTCAATATGTGATTGGTGTTACCTAGGTTTCTTGTGACCAAATTATGTATCTAAATTTCTACTACAACATTAATGTTCTGAATAAATATGCATTTCACATGTGGAGATATTATGCATTCTTTTACATGGGTAAGTCAACATTTATCTTTTATCCAATTTTAGGTTATTAAGGCATACTAAAATCAAATCTTTTCTTCTATTCGCGTTATTGTTGGTATTCAAAGCAAACATGGTAAAAATCTGATCTTAATAATCTCTTCTTTTTGGCTTATTGCCAGTATTTATTGTACAACACATCATTAACTATCTTTTCTTGCAGAACAAAGAAAAAGAGCATAAGTGATTTTCCTTACTTAAAATACACTCTACCATAGCTACTAATATTTGACTGATCCCTAAAGAACTGTGGAGTTTGCAATTCAATTCAACTTCGTAACTTGGTTACATAAGCACAATCTTAGTACTGTGGTTATTTGAATATAAACTTTAGTATTTATAGCATTTTCTAAGAGCAGGCAAATTTGAAAAATATAAAAGTTTTGAAAAGTATCCACCACTGTGGATGGAAATAACTACAATTTACACAAAACAAGGAAGTACTTAAGAAACAATCATTTTAAAATGTTACAACTGAGATATGATGAAAATCTTCAAATATTTAATTCGAGACATTGTAAAGAAAAATTAATATCTGCCAATAAAAAATTAGATTGCTGGAAAAATTCAGAACATAAAATGCAAAATTTACAGAAACAAATTCATACATATATATAGAAAACATAATTATAAAAAGAAAACTCCATGAAAGAAAATGAAAATCATATTTATTTAAGCATACTTTAGAATATGCAATTTTGCTTTTGAAAATTCAGCTTCATAACAGTTATACCCAATGATGGTATTTTTAAGATTTCCTGTTATTACAAATAAGCAAAACCAAGACTTTTTTTTTTTTTTTTTGACAATGCTAAAAGCACATCTTCATTCCACACTGTTGTGAGGAATGGTTAACATAGCTTTTAGAACTTCAATCCTTCATACTCATCAGGTATTACTGCAACTACTGGTGACATCTTTCCTATGAAACCAACTAATGTATTACACAAAAGATGGGGGGGGGAGGAATATCAATAATTCAAATTCTTCAAACTGTTGTGCTGTAAACTGTTTCTGCTATTTATTTCATGTAATATCATCATTTTCTCCATTTTTTATTATGCATAGAAATGGAAATTAACCCATAAAATATTGAATACTATAGTCAAATACCAAATACTACAGTCTGCCAACCTGAAATCTACACAATGTATCAAAGTGTAAATATTCAGTTTACAGGTTCAGGAAATTACAACATGGAGAACGAAATACTGAAGAAAAGAGTTACACAATTCAATAAATGTGAGCTGGTTGTGATTTTAAACCAAATATTAAACATATTCAACTGAATATTAAAACAACCATCTATGACCAAGAAACTTTATGCACGATATAACAAGGTTGCAGAAGCTGCTAGTCTGTGTAATGTAAAACAAATGTATATATGTAATATAACTCAGGATATATACATGTATATAATAAGCACTTGCATGGTAAATAAAGAGCTTGGAGATATTTTGATTTACTAATATGCACATTTTTTGCTATACTTGTTACTGTACTGCAATTTATTTTTTTAATCCTGGAGGGAATTAACAATTGCCTTGTACATAAAACAGTATTATTACACAAAAGACCGGGGGGGGAATATATTAGGTGAATTTATCTTCTAAATTTTATGTATATCATTTTCAGGCTCTAAAATTTACTTAGATTGGTGTAATTAAAAAATATTTTCCCCTCATTCTGCTATATATGATTCTAAATTTTCAATGTAATGAATACTCTTATGCTATTAAAAAGTGCATACATGTTTTTTAAGTAATTTATTACAAAGTCATGCGTGGTAAACACATATAAAAAATTACTACTTCCTTTAAATCTTCTTTCATGAATGATGAACTTAACCAAATATTTTCCTCTCAAGGATACAAAACAGAATCTATAATTCTCCTCAAACTCTGTCTTATTTGTGGTGGAGCCATGTCTACTGCACTTTTCTTTTCCTAGAATAAAATAAACAACTCTTCATTTAATGGCATAAAAAAATTAGTAATTATTATTATTTTTTTTTACAGTTTTTAATTACATTTCTATTCAGCAACAAAAATGTATAATAATTCAGAAAATTAATAAAAGCAGTAGAATTAAGTTTCCAATGCTAATCTATTTAATATTTTGAGTTTAAAAATTTTAAGTCATTCAAAATATTACTAAATTAAGTAATATAAAATATAAATTTTAATAAGGAATTGAAAGCAAGTAATCTTCACTAAAAATTTTCAAATAAATTTATTAACAGGTAAGTAAGTATTTTGCTTAGTGGTTTTAAATCAAAATGGCTGATAGAAATCTGTGTTATCAAACTGCTAGTAGCAGTACTAATATGGTGTTGGTAACAATAGTTGCCAGAGCCTACTCTGAAGAGAGGTTGGACTTCTATTTTCCACCCCCAATTTTGAGGGACAGCACCCAACGGGGATCTGCAGATCTCCCACCAATCCACACGAGAGGACTTCCAGATCACTGTATATTTAGAGTGCTGCCATGCTGCTCTGACACTATACATTTACAAACATCCATGTCTTCTCCGGGATTCGAACTCGAGCCCTTTGGTACCGTAGTAGGCTTCCCTAACCACTATACCGTCTAGCAAAATAAACAGTAGTACTAACAATTAATATACAGCTGTAATAACAATAAATAGAATAATAAACCAAGATTTACAACTTAAGAAAACTAAAAAGCAATGTTCACCAGTTCTTGCTGAGGCATGTGGCTCAATGCAGAAGAATTTCTGGAATTCTGTATGAAAACTAGTTAGGAGGACATAAATGGAAATATAAACTGTGACCTTTGATGAAGCATGGGTTTAGATAAATGTTTCACCAATGCAAAGAAAGTTTCAGCAAGGGGTTTATGATTGTCGTCAGTTTCTCTAACAATGTGAAATTCAAAATAAAAAGAGTGGGGAAAATGTTAAAATCAACTCAATATACTATCAGCAGAATGTTTTATGTCCAATATTCCATTTCTGTTATTCCAATAACTTTCATAAAGTGAAATTTAATCAAGACAAAGCAATTGTTCATTCCTTGAAAAGTACCACTGCATTCCTTGGAAAAATGAAGATTGATACAGATATTGCATGCATTTTCAGTATATAATATACATATATTCAATTATTTAACTTTTCAATATATTCCTGCCAAGAGTCCTGGTGTTTCACCTATGGACTATTGTGCCTTTGGTTTCTCGAAAAGAGCTCTTTGTAAGTGCAAACCTATGATGATTAATGGACTTAGAAAACTGGATATCAATACCTCTGAAAATTTTATAAAAAGCCTTTCTATCATAGACCATGATGCAGATTAATAATCCAGAAAAAAAGCAACCAGATCAAACATTTAAAAAAATACTCTTTACATTTTAAAACATCAAAATACTCTCCATATTTTAAAACATAAATGGCCTAAAATCACTCAAAAAATGTGTAAACACCCTCTGTAATTATGATTGTACATATTATAAAAAATATAAATTACTCATAAAATTTTTGGAATAAATCAGTTCGTAATTATTTAATGAAGTTAAATAAAGTGATGACAGAGGTTAATTATTTCTTACTTTGTTTAAAGTATCTGTGTTAGCACCAGCTTCAATTAATAACTTAGCTGCTTCAATTCTTTCTTCTTCACATGCTAAATGCCTGAAAAGAAAATGGTTATCTTTTGGATATCTGTATATACTTATGTATAAATGAGAAGTAGCCATTCTTTATAAAATATTATTAAAAATTTCTTACAATGGAGTATTTCCAACACAATCCCTGGGATTGAGATCAAGTTGATTACCATACTCTTCCAAGAACACCTTCATTATTTTAATATTTCCTTTAGATGCAGCTCTATGAAGAGGGGTGCTTCCCATATTATCAGCTGCATTAATATTGGCATGGTTATCAAGTAATAACTTTGCAACCTGAAATATGTCATGGGTCATACTCAAACAAAAGTGCAGATTTGAATACACAACCAGATAAAATCCTAAACTAGATCAAATTTTGATTTAAAAAATAAATGTTTTCAAAATTGTAAGTTTATTTACCAGGTAAACATGTAAGCAGGTAACATTTAGTCTGCTAATCTAGACACACATATACATGCATAAAAAAACAGTGTCATTATTGCCATATATTTAACTAAAACACAGTTTCTTCTATGCCAGTAGAAAGCAATCAAATATATTTCAATAATCATATTATTTCCATGTAGAGATATTTGTGTATGGAAGCCTTTTTGTTTGATAAAGTATGTGTAATTTTCAGATACCTCCTCCCCCAATGACAGGCACTAGCCATTATAGGCATTAGCCACTACTAAGGCCAAAAGCAGTGGTCACTTTATCATGGAGGTAACTTAACAGGTAGGCCACTGAAGGAGCAGAGAATTTACATCCACGCTTTCTAAAGGATTCAAACCCAGACCCTTCGGTACGGCAGTCAGAGTCACTAACTACTTTCTCATCTAGGCGGCTAATTTTCAGATATATTTCCATAATATTTACATTCAACTTTTCAATATTTCTGAGAATACATTTTCTCATAGTGCCTGCAAATCTCAAAGCTAATTTAGGAGTTCAATTTTTTTTTTTTTTTTTTTTTTTTTTTTTTTTTGTATTTGTTGAAATACATTCATAAAAGTTATATTTAGTTTAGGACATTCTTATCCTAAGACAGTGATTGTTTATAAACATTCCTTAATTAACCACCAACAGTTTAAAAATTTGTTAATGAAAACTTCTTACAGTTCTAAGCCTCAAAAAAGACTTAACAGTTTTAAAAAAAGAAAATCTGAAAGGATTCAGATTTTAATGTCACACCAGAGACTTTGTTAAGGTTTCTTATTCTCTAACTGAGCATTGCAGAGAATTCCCAATACAGTGTAAAGGGGTTACCATACATTGTATATATATATATATAATATATATATATTTGTTATATTATTTCTTTGAAAACTGGTCTGCTAAAAGAGTTGTCATAAAAAAAAAGGCTACATAATGATTTTACTGAGCCAACAGTACATCATCTTATAAAAATATTTAATATTTCTAATTAGACATCACATGATTTAAATGTATTTTTATTTAAATCGATCAGATTAAAAAGTAAAAAAAAATTTTTTTTTTAAAGAGCTGCATTTATAACTTTTCAATACCTTTTTGGATTACTTTTTCAAGGCAGTAATAGAAAGATTAAACTTGAAAGTTAAGCATCTTATTCTTTAATGAATGGCAACATGCTGGTTGCATGGAGATAATAAGTAATCTACTTGTGGCAGTGGCAATACATTGCCTTCAAATAGCGAAATTTGTAGATTATCTAACAGTTTGCCGAATGGCAGTAGTCTTGCACGCTAAAGATAAAAATGTTTTATTTCAAACAGCATTGCTACTTCTCACTTTCAGATAGCTAGGGTTTTCAAAATAAAAATTAATTAAATCTGTTAAATAAAAATTGATGTTAAAAAAATAAATGTTAAATAAAAATTAATTAACATTGGGTCCGAATAATGTGAAGTCATTTGCACAAAAAGTGAATTCTAAGACTACTAGCACCTCTGGTGCTAAAAATACGCTTAAATATTCAAAAGAACTTTAATAATGGCAAACATCATAAAATCTGGAAAACAATAGAGAGGAAGATTTATGTGCCAAATACATAATAAATACCATTAAAATATCTTTCATTAACTGCAAGAAATGCACATGCTTTTAGAAATTATTACTGATTATATTAGAAATTAATATCAGTATTATAAATATATTTAATTTATACCAATTAAATATACTTATTGAGATTTAAATTATTGAATAATTAAATTTTTATTATTTAAATTACTGATTTAAATTACTTATTATTCCAAAGTTATGGGATCCTACCATATGGGACAAAAAAAGTTTTTATTAATGAACATGATATGGTCAGTTGAATATGGCCTACAAAACAGCAATAGACTAGAACATTTATATGTTGGAAGTTTGCATTCACAGCATTCTAAATATAGCTTTCAGTAAAATTTGAAGGGCTAACAAAATAGAAATTCATGAAAGTCTTTTTATGGAATGCAGAAATGAAGCATATCAAATACTGATTGCTTATTAAAAACAGACGCATCAGCTTCTTCAGAATTCTGCAGGAACAATCGGCACAGCTCTGATGTGATTCCTGCTAATTTTCATGTTCTAATAGTATCGAACTTTTCGGGTTAAGGTGATAATACAAGTGCACTGTACAGTTATTTGTAAATAAAAAATTTGGTGGTTATGTCTTTTATGCCATTAGAAAATTAGTTTAGTGTCAAAAGGTTATGACTTGCAAATACACATCTACCACTGTGTTCCATCACTACCAATTTGTTCATTCACAGGTCCATTTACGATACCATCCGTTGTGATAACTTTAATGTATAATTTAATTCCCATGTATCACTCATGGGATTTGAGAAATAACACAGCAGAAATTTGGGCTTTTTTATGGAATATTACCAAAAACCAAGAATAAGAATGCTCTAACTTCTACACAATGAAACTCTATGTATCACGAAAGGAAACATGTAGCACATATGTAGCACTAAAACAAACAGACAAACAATAACAATATTCAAAGATTTTTCCCTCACCCATCTCCAAACAGATAATTTATGACTGTATTGCATGGCATCACTTGCTCCGATTCTTTTCATTGCATCCCCCCCTTTTACTGACATTCTGGTTAGCTACTACCTAGTCTTAAAAATTTATGTCTCACCTGTCTGTGAAACTTCTCTTTTATTCAGTTGCACATGAAGAACGTGATAGCAGAATTTCTGAAAGCACTTCTGCTAACATAAAATCTACATTAATTATTGTTGGTTTTCTTACAGTCAAAGAAGGAAATTCATTTGAGACCACACTTACTACTTCTGTGAGGAATAACAATAGCTAAATTTCACAAGGATGAATTATATGACACACAAAATTGTCAAAAAGTAGATTAATTTTTTAAAAATAGCATTACTAAAATGGAAGAACTGAGTTTCCTGCTATCCAAATCTGGAATCTAGATTATTACTAAAATTACCTTACAGACAAACAGAACATCAGACCGCAGTTAAGATAAAAGAATCAAAATTTTTCCTTTTATCAAATAATTTATTTGTTACACATATGTACATTAAATTTCTATTCTATTGTAGAAAAGAACATCAGAAGAAATAATGAAATGATAAGAAATATTTTCACTAAATAATTAGTAATGAGGGGGAAAAATTCCTCAATTTATCTGCTCAAAAATTAACATGAAAAGAATATAATCTATTTGGTATAACCTTCTATTTTCATTATTAGTTTTCTGCTTCCATAGCTAATGAATAAAAATAAAAATAATAAATATATAGACAAAAAAATATTACTTCTTCTCTGTTTTTGGAAGCAGCATAGTGTAATGATGACTGACCAGTTTGATTCATGGAATTAACATCAGCACCCTTTCTGATTAAGGCTGCAACTATATCTAAACATCCAACAGATGCAGCTATCATTAATGGTGTCCAATTACTCTACAAATAATAAAACTAGTTTAGAATAATATAAAATCAATAAAAAAGCTTTCATTATATCCAAGAACCTTCTATATTCTATTAAAGAAATTTATAGAAACAATGATGCAAAAAAGTTTATTATTGCAGAAAAGTTTATTACAGTACAAAGTCTGTAATCTGGACGTCCATTATCCGGAATGATATATAAGCCGGACCTCAAAGCCACAAACTTTTTTTTTTGTATGTTTTACACATATGTGTAATGCGTTTAATGTTACGCACGCGCAAAAGTTTATTATTGCAGAAAAGTTTATTACAGTACAAAGTCTGTAATCTGGACGTCCATTATCCGGAATGATCTATAATCCGGACCTCAAAGCCACAATTTTTTTTTTTTTTTTTTTATGTTTTACACATACGCGTAATGCGTTTATTGTTACGCACGCACATTTAATGTTTATGCATGCGCGTTTAGCACAAAAAATGAAGCAACTTAAACAACCTACATTGAAAGAAATGTTTAATAAAGTAAACAAATAAATATTAAGCTTTTTTTTTTAAAGTTTTGATATCCTTTAGATTATAAGTGCTCTTTATTTCATAAATTACAGTTTCATACTTTTAATTGTATAATTTCTGCATGTTATCTTACCAGATTTAAATTTATGATCTATAATCTGGAAAAACTTTTAATCCGGAATCGCCGAAGTCCCAACGAGTCCGGATTACAGGCTTTGTACTGTATATATGTATTGCAATAATGATATATTTTATATCATTATTGCAATTCATATATATTAAAAACATCAGCTAAGAGGAAAAGTTAAAAACTTTTGAACAAAATTTTGCTGTTATTTCAGCCAAAAGTATTTCTCATAAATGAGATTGGTTTGGAATCTCATACACTTATTTGTATCGAAAAACCTAAGAAATTCGTAATAAATATATATACAGTAACTAGAAATATCATCAAATTTACAGAATTCTCCAAATTCTAGCAACCCTTAACATAATAATTTTTCAGCTTTGACATGCAGCTTCATTACATTTGTATGCATTATTTGGCTAAAATGATGTAATCAGTGCATGCTAAATTTCGGAATTTAGTTGGATTCTGATTTTATTCTGCTAACCTTACTTTTGCTATTACATAATGATATTTTTCTGGCAAGCCTTATTTATTTATTTTTCGCTAACTTGAATCAAAGGAATTGCTGGACAGTTTTTTCTTGGTCAGATGTTCTTTACTATTTTTTAACAGCGAAAGCAGACATGCTCTTTTACTTTCATTACATTCGACCATGTTGAAGTTCTTGGGAAACTGTGAGACATGCAACAGAAAACTGTGTGTGATGCTGAGCTCATATAACTCTGTCATTTTCTTTTAACAAAAACAAAATAATGGGAAGAACAGCAGTGCAAAAAAACTACACTGTGCACATGGACAGAACACTGCTGAAAAGTTACAGAAGAGTGTGATTTTTAAAAATCTCAAAAAAATGTGTTTTTGATGTACTAATTATTACTTGAGAATAAGAATTTGTATTCTGAATTGATAAAGTGTGTTTCCTTTGCATATGTTGATAAAGTTTGCAAAGTACTGATATTTATTGATACTTTGGTATCTTTTTAAGAAAAATTGCCAACTTGTACCTGCTAAATAACTTTTACCTTGTATTCTAAGTTTCAACTATTTATATAACTGTTACTAATAAATTCTGACATTCTGTAAAATATCCAGGCATTTTTAGACAAAGTAGAAAATATGATAATTATTATATACTTTATTTAGACATTGTACAGTCAAAAGTCGTTAATCCGGGCTCATCGGGATTTCGGCGATTCCGGTTTATCGATTTTTCCGGATTATAGATCATAAGTTTAAATCTGGTAAGATGGCATGCAGAAATTATAAAATAAAAAATATGAAACCGTAATTTATGAAATAAAGAACAATTATGATCTAAAGGGTATCAAAATTTACAAAAAAAAAAAAAAAAAAAAAAAAAAAAAAAAAAAAAAAAAAAAGCTTAATATTTATTTGTTTACTTTATTAAACATTTCTTTCAATGTAAGTTGTTAAAGTTGCTTCGTTTAATGTGATAATACTTTCTCTTTAATTCTATAAACAGACATAATTTCTTCTTCAGTTACAAAGTTCCGCTGTTCAAGTCCTATAATTGCTGTGTCGAGAGAGAATACCGACTAATTTGTCAATCGAAATGTTTTCGTTTTCAATAACCTCTGTGTCACTTTCTTCACCATCGGAAGCGAATTATAATGAAGAGGAATTTGATTTAAATCATATCAAAGACACAGTACATCGAGATGAAACACTATATTTAGTAAGGAATTATAAGCCAAATAAAAACATCTGCCCTGAAGATAAGGATAATGCTGACAGATTAACTTCCAATTCATTGCGCACCGCTGACAGATCAACTTCCAATTCATTTCCCCCCCCTCGCCGCAAAGCAGCGTGAAATTGATAAGTAGATTTCGGAATGTTTAGATAAACAAAGGATTATGCCTTTATTCATTTTTTGCAGCATTTCAACCTATCTGTTGTAACATGGTAAGCTTAAATGATATTTTGAATTCACTTCATTTATTTTCCACTTTCTGTTTAATGGACTTCGAAACATACTTTCACTTTGTAGATCCTTTACATATTAGTAAACATACGTATGTATCCGAAATTCTATTTGACATAATCGAAAGTTCAAGCTTACTTTTATAAAATTGCTCTAACAGTCTGCAAAAAATAATAAGCCGGACCCAATTTGAAGATTAAGGAACAACGCAATCTGCAACACTAACTGAATTTGATAATTTTAGCTTAGCTTATACCGTCCGTTATACATTAAGCGTGCATGCGTAAACATATTATGCGCATGCACACACGCATATTACAGGGTTCGTACACATTTCCTTACATGAAAATTAAGGACTTTTAAGGACCATTAAAGAAAAAATTAAGGACCTATATCAGCAACAAACAAATAAATAAATAAATAATAGAAACGAATCAATATCCAAAGCAACTGACTACATGCTTGTAATTTCACTTTAAGAAACTAACAGAAGTGTGTGTATTATGCACTATTATTAAATTCAATTTAATACTTAACATAAAACAATTTTGAAAATTAAACTAACTCCCTCAAGTTATGAAGTAGATAACATTAAATTAAGAACATAATTTCTTGAAAAACATGTATAAGTGTATTTTACACTAATAACAGCCACAGATATTTTAGAGATTTACATAATTATTATTTAACTTATTTGATATTTAGTTAAACACAGTCAACTACTATTATAACTGCAATGTAAGAATATTTTGCAGATTAAAATAACAGATTTGTAAACATGTAATTTATTTCTTTGGTTTGTTGGAAGATACTAGAATAATAAACTATACAATAAAAGATACAAAATTTTTATGCTTTTTTTAAATCTGAAATTTTTTCAGATATTTTAACATTTAATTTATTTATGTCTATTTCCTTTTCTTTAACTTTTCTTCTAAAAGTTCATTTGTTTTGATAAACAAATCAATGTTCCTGCTGGTCTCGACTTCATCTGCTAAAAGCATCTATCGAAGCTGCTGCTGATCTCATTTCTTTATTAATTTCGATATTAAGAATACCTTCAGAAAATTTTATGTAATCAAATACTGTGCATTGAAAAATGTATGATGAGTCACTTAAATTTTCAATTTCAATTGCTTTATTTACAGAGCAGCCCCTTTCTACAGAGGCCTGTCCATGTGACAAGATAAGAATCATTTTCACTATTTTCCATACTTTTGAATAGTGAAAATCATGAAAACAAGAAGTGAGAAATGTGTCAAGGGAAAGATTTTGAGGATCAAAAGTAGAAAATTCATGTAAATTTGTCTTAACTACTTTGTCTAGAATATCTCCAAACTGCAGCAGAATTTCATCACAATTATCTTGTAAAACACGTTTATTCCGCGTTAATACCGTTAGAACTATTTTCATTTTGTTCTGGGCTTTTTCTGGACTTTTAGCCATCAACTGTGGGTCTATACAAGTGCATTCGAATAAGAGAATTTAGTGACATTACATTAATGTTGTACATTGTAAAACTTACCTATTGTTCATGCAAACTTTAAGCTTGGAATGCCCCGCTTTTTGGGCATGCCCAAACTTTTTTTATCACAGGGTTTGTGGACCCCAAAAATCCCCTGAAACTTTTACGGACTTACTACCGACATTTTGGAGTTTCGAGAAGGGGGGGGAGAGAAATGAAAAATTACAATTATGAAGTATTGAATGACCTAATTATAAAAGTTCAATGAATTACTTTTTTTGCAAAATTAATAACCATAAATTTTCAAACATATAAACTACTACATTTTATGTAAATATTTTAAATTACCTGAATTAATTCTTTTAAAAAAAATTATCTAATTTCTGCTGCGCTTTTTTTTTATTTTCTGATGTTTGTGGGCTTGTCTTTCTTTTGTGGTGAACTTCATAATTGCAGGAAGGTTGACTTTTATTTTCCTCATTTACAGTTGAAGAAATTTCCTCGAGAACTGCACATGCAGAGGTAGAAGCAGTTTGTTTGCTTTTCTGCTAATGTAGAAGGTTTTCAGAGACTTTTATAGGTGACTCATCTGAAATACATGTTTTTAAGTCCTCTTGATATGTTTTCCAACTTCTGTTCATATTCAGTAAGAGATCTTTGTGAATTGGATCAGTCATTGGATTTTTTGAGCCATATTTTTCACATGAGGTTTCTTTAGAAGCCATTAAATCATATTTAATAGTCTGCACTGCATCTAGGGAATCAATCTTAAGAGAGGTTCTATAGTCAGTGACAAGTGTATCCATTAAGTTGAATGCACTTTCCACTAATGGGCCATGGAAGCAGCTAAGGCAGGCTTTGACCAATTTAGCCAATGTAGGATACTTATAATCATTTGTGAAATCATCTTTTAAATTAAAAACTTTAGACCAATATTTATCAATTGTACACTTGACTTG